CTTGAGCTGAAATGGAGCACGCTGTGTTTAAGGCCCCCAGGGTTCACCACTTACTATCTCCATGAGGGCAGGCCAACCCTGCATCCACCCTGACAACGCTCCATCTAAGGCTACAGGATGTGCGTTCCAACTTCTCAATGCGCGTCCCAGGGTGCAGCGAGCCCGTCTGGCCCGCCGTATCTCACTTCCATTCCTTGTTGCTTTTGGTATTGTTGCATGTTGTACTCTTTTACACGGACTGTTTCTAAGCACTTCCGGCTACAGTTCTTCGGGACAAATCACTGGTGAATGGGTAGCCCCATCTGTCTGTCGGGGCAGGCCTGGAAGCGCATTTTAGCAGTAATGTTGGGGCTCTGGTGCAAACCGACGCCATTTCCCAGCTGAAAATGTTTCATTGAATGTGCCAGGTTGAACGAAAATTTGGCTTATGGAAATACTGTGCTTAAACCAACCCGTAAAGAAAGGCGATTTCACGCCACCGTAGCGTTGGTGCCATATGACCTGTCCCACTGATGACGTCACAACATCGTTTTCCAGAATGCAGTAGTGCGGGGCTTGGTTTGTGCATGCTCTGTACCAAAAGGTGGAATAATCACGGCAGCTGTCTGATCGCCGGCACGTGACAAGAATCAACGAGCATTTTCTGCCTTGCTGCGCTGGCGATAGAAAGTTTGACTTATGCTACCCCTGCCGGGCATCGACGGTGCTGCACAGCGTAGACATCTGTCCTGCACTCTAGGTCAGGCCAGACGTCTACGGGTCAAGGAAACCACGCTGGTCAAGATAATATTCACATGCTGCTGGTCGTGGTGGAGGTATGTTGATGCTCGCAAGCCCATTAGACATTTCCAAGCCTACGAATCACAAAAATTTCGTTCACACTGCTAATTTACCGAAAAAATAGTCTACGGACTGCCCCAGGCAAATGTAAAACTATGCTCCTCTTAGTGAGGGCTTTCGATCACATGCTTCCCTCGTTCCCCAATCAACAGAAGTGAAGCTCGGCTGGCCCCATAGCTTGTGAAGAGATCCTTACGAGCATCCCTAAATACTGTTAAAACATTTTTCTAGATGTTCAAGGCATAAGTATAAATGTACTATATCAAATCAAATAAATATATTCGAATTCATTTTCTCCAGTTTCGCTTACCAAAGTCCGCCAATCAATCGTAGACGCCGGAGAACAGGCCAGCCCTCGAGAACGGATGTCAGCGCCAGCGCCACCTTTAACTGATGCGGCCGACGGTGTTGCCGCTCAGGGGCGGCGGGAGAAATCCGTGGCTCAACCAGAAGCGGACGTTGATGGCGCTGACCCGCCGGTTGACGTTCGCTTGACGACGCTTGACTTCGCATAAGGAGAATCGGTGTTCAGCATGGCTCTTGAAGAACAGAATGCATTCTTACTCTTACTTCCAATAGTGCAAGTGGTGACAGGTAATTTCAATTCCGAAACAAGAGTAGCTTCACTACTTCACATGAATAGATTTCATCTTGACGCGACATTTAATGGTATCCGCATTCCCGCTCCATTTTAGTTGCATCATTAGGTTCGGCAAGCAAGCGCTGGCCAGACGGCGGCATTCTGTAATGGGCCGTTATGCGGACCTAGCACTAAAATGCGTGCGCTCCGCAGGGCACGATGTCACGGTGTTATTAAACAGCGGTTCTGAGGATACCTCTCCTGCATGTCGTCCAGTTCGGCCCAAATTTGTGTTAGCCTCTGGAGCATACATTGCAAGTATTTTGACTCACAAATGTGTCTCTAATATATCTGGCTTCTAAGAAGCGATGGTTGAAAGGAACACTGCACGGCGATCCACTAATCAGCGGGTGCCCTGGTTCCGTAATATGCTCATAATGTGCAACGCGGTTATCACTTATTCCCGTGCAGCAGTGTGTTCGCATTACACTACAGGCAGGTCGCCCCCAGTTACCAATGCGTCGTCAAGACATGATTTGAGCAAAAAATTTATGTGGGCCGATGAGCGATTCACATTGGAGGCCGATAGTGCTCCCACAATGACACCGTGTGCACATGGCGGCGCCCACCGAGCACGACCAAAGGCATTTGAAATTGGACCTCATAACTTGGCGAATTGATCCTTTTCGTCAACGTTGAAGGAGGCACTGTCGGGTCCCAACAATAAAAAAGCTCTGAGAGTTGAACAGGGGTGTTGTTTTGATAGCTGATAGCCCAAATACAGGGTAAATGCACACAGCCGTACTCTAACGCGGTATTATATTTATTTTTCCTGGCCACCGTGGTCATCACGCTACGGGCCAGCCCGCAGCAGGTACCCATGCGCCGTAGATGGGCGGTTTGAACAAGTAAAGGTTATGTTGGCGGATGAGCGCTTTACAATGACGACTGATAGTCCTCCCACCACAGTATCGCGTGCACATGGTCGCACCCGCAGCGCATGACTACAAGCTTTGATTAAATTTTGACGCAGTATCTTCACAAATCGCCACGGCGGCTTTCCTGTCTCGATTAAAGGGAGTGTTCCACATTTGTATGGCGTGATAAACTCAGACGGACGGCCCTATTACAGAATTCAGTGTAGCTCACAGCTATACCTCTTTAGCTTGTATTAACATGGCCAAGCTATGTTCGTCTGGAATATTTATTACTAAGTCAGAATTGATCAATGATACAAAATATGTACCTCGCAAATATTAGTAACAAAAACATGATGGGATGTGTAGTAGCTTCCATTGGCCGCGTAGCATCGGCCCCGTGGCAAACACTAAGCCCTGGCGAATGGGTGGATGAAAATGATCACGCTCAAGGATATCAAATCATACACTTGAAGGTAGGACCGGGCGTTTATTTCACCGGTACCATTTTAGATTAATGATAAGAACAGATTGGTCCTTAAGGCGCTGCGAAATGTTGCTGGAATCTAGTGGTGGAAATGGATGAGCGGAGGAAGAATCTCCATTTTTGCGTTGCTGTAACTGTTTATTTGTCCAAAGGACAACCTCAAAGTTATAAGAATGATACGCCCAGGCCAATCTTTGAAAGATGCGAGTGAATTTTGAAAGTCATTCAAAACCGCAGGCCAGGACGGTCGCTCTAGTGCGCACAGCGCTCACCGCCTGATGTCACTCACAGTGGCCAACGTCATTCGGTTTTATGGAAACTGCAACCCAGACCATCGCTCATTCTTGCTCATCATCCTTCTTGCCCATCTGGGCCATCTGGCTCATCACTGCTCGTGAGATCTCGGGCGCGCATGCTCAAACATATTAATGTAATTTGTTGCACCAGTCGATTCTACAAAATAATAAACATTCTCAGATAAAGCATGGGATGGCCCTGTTTGTCTTTAAACTCGTTTTGACCAACTCTATCTAACCCTTATGAGGCTCCTTATTTCCGGGGATGCAACCCCCTTGACTAGAACTCTAGGAGACACATTATTGTTCCCGGTCAAGGGCTGAGGGGCTATTCCGTCCCTTGCAGGGTGTCTTCCGGCTGTCATTCTGGCGACACGGTGCGGAATCAATCCCCTGGCCAACCTGGAGGCCCTTAGCGGGAGAAATCGTATCACATTAGTCCGCTCCCAAGCGTTGGAGGCCTTCTGGACCGCTCGACTGACCCCTTATCGACGCAGGAGCACTCATTAATGCAACAACATCCCTGATCGCCACAGGTGCGTCTGTCGTTCAGGGCCCCATCCTCTTTCCTGTTGAACAAATCTTCCTCTGACCGACTCGAGGCCGCTTGGTGGCACAGAATACACCGTGGGCCTCTGAGCGATATAGAAACCCCGCATTATTACAGAGGCCCCGACCAATGTGATTCTAGGGCCCGGCCCTCGGCCGAGTCCCTGATAGGGAAATGGGCCCCTATAGCGCAGGGTGATAGGGAGCCGACTGTTTGGTGTTGGTGATCTCTGGCCGACTTAGACACCTGCATTATGCTCTCAGGGGTCGCAAACGGTGCGAGAGTACCCCTGACTGATATTTCAACTCACGACTCCACGGTCGCGATTCTCTATGTGACCTACAACCATTTCTTCGGTCCCTTTTGCCTCCAACCGGGTCATTGACAGTCGATTCCGTTGGGCTCCCCGGTCCCCTCTTAAGGTCTCATCGAACACCGCTTTCGGCCTGTTCGGAGCCCCTTGCGAGCCCACGACCCTCTGTTAGGCGCTGTGGCCCCTGACAGACACAGGGATGTAAGATACCAGATACACGTGTAAATCACTGGCCGTCTTTGTAGCTGATTGAGACGTGGCCCTCAGGCCCATACTGACACGGAGCCGACTGTGCGATACTAATGGTGGCTGACCAACATAGCGGCCCATATATACTCAGAGGTTCTCCGATGGGCGCAAATGGCCCCCTGTCTGCCATTTCAGGACCCGTCTCCACATGCCAGGGCCTGTAAGTAAGGCTCCAACCAGCCCCACGTGCCTTCAGACTCTTTAATCGGGCCCTTGATCGTCGGACCCGGTAGATCGTCCACGCTCTTTGGGCCTCCTCGAGCAAGCTACCTCTAGCTGACTTGGGCTCTTTGCCAATACAGGGCGTCAGTTAGGCGTTGTGGGGCCTGACAGACACTGGGGTCCCGGCGAATATAAATCACCGGCCCTCAGGGGGCCCCTGATCAGCGCGCAAGACACTTTGGCTGCCATTGGAGTGCCCGGTCCTGCATGCTGGGGCCCCTGAATGCGACCCCCGGCCCAGGCCTTCAAATCTTGGCCTTAATCGCAGGTACTGGGTGTTTTTTTCGGACCCCTAGCAGTCCTAATACGGACACGCACCCCTCTGTCCCCCTCCCCACTCCTTTGTCTCCACTACCGCTTGCTTCAACATCTTAAAATATGGAACATTCCTTGTGACAGCAGTCTTGTAAATGGCGTCATCATCAGCTGACATGGTTAGACACGCCGCGCACCTGGATCAACTGCGCCGCATTCAACGACATCACTTATTTACGTCAGTTGATCACGGTAATGGCGTGCGTGTGAATGTTGCCTGTATGTCGAGAATGTGTGAAGACATGGGTTGTTTCGGGCATGACGTGTACAGAAAACGCCCTTAAACCACTATCTGTTTTTTTTAGAGGAAAAGGACAGGATAAGAATCGATTTGTGTGGGGTCTGATTTTTTAAGGTTGTCTACTTGGAGAATGGGGATACCCCATGGGTATTTATGGGGTACTCGATCGAAGTTATGGTGCATAAAGAGGAATTGGTTGTGTTCATTTTGTCTCTTTGTCGCACAGTGCTTGTCTTGATAAAACACCGTTTTGTTAGTGAGGTGTAGAGGTGAAACCTACTGAGGTTTTTTCATGTATGGTTTGCTGCAGCTGGCAAGTCCATCATTTTTAAAGATTGATTTCAAATGGGCAGGGTTTGATTGCCAGGTGTCGACTTGAACACTGCTCCATTGTTGGAAGTTGCTGCAGAGAGCTACATGCCACCCAGGCTGTCAATTATTGTGAAGATGTCCAGAGATTTTTGGTACAGCCACATGCAGTGTTGCTCAGGGTGAAGGCCATTTAAACCTGAGGGCAGCATGCCTGCCTCTGCTGTGAACTTGTTGATATGTCACATGGTCATCTGAGAAAAATATGACTGGAATACTTTGTCTCATCGGTGTGCCGGTTTCAGTACCTCATCTGTTGATGTTGTTCCAGATGCAGAGGTGGTGTTAGCATTTTTGTAACCTGCTGGTGGTTGTTCCAAGAACAGCTAATTCAGGATGGAAGTGTGAGTGCAATTCACAATAGTATAAATGTGTGATGTGCACCTATAGCTATGTAGGTTCCAATATATTTTTATGGAATATGCAATTCAATAGGCTGCCATTGAAAACTTATGACATCAAAGTAGTGAATTAAAAATTGTGTTGTGCTAGACAACTTCTTTATCTCAACATTTGCATATAGAGTATCTCATTGTGCTACTTGCTGTCTTGTGGGTATTGATAAAAATTATGCTGATTACACAGTGCTGACTGAACTTATATGTTACAGATTAGATGCAAACAGTGCCATTCTTTGCAATTATGAAGTGTATGAGCTTTTGCAAGATATAAAGAAGGGGTCCTCAAACAAGAAAAAGAAAAATCAACTGAAAAATCTAGCAACCATTACATATCAGGTATGTTTTGTTTTTCCTTGGAGCTCAGCTGGTTAGGGTACCTGCATTGTGATCCACTCAGCTGGGGGTCAGTGGGTGTGAGTGACTATGCACAAACTGGTTTTCCTTGATTGAGATAGCCTGCAGCAGGTGACAGGGGCAGTGGTAGGGCTCACCTGGAGTCAAAGGGTAGAAGGGACTGTGCAGAATATTGCATCACTTTAAGCAATGTAAACTCATGCCATCAGATTATGCTGTGGGGCTGGAATGTCATGGCCAGATAGCAGGGTTCAAGGCTTACATAACAAGCACCACATATAATGAGCTCTGATCCCAGAAATCCATTCATTCAAAAAAGGGTATGCTTTATCATAGAAAGGCTTTGTTGTGGTGAAGTCGACTAAGGAACCATACTGTGACATGAAAGTTGTCACTGTCTTATTAATTTTTTTGATGAGTATATACCAACAGTTTGTTATTTTGAAGAATTCTGCTATTTTTCACTATCATTTTAATGTTGTAAGTAAAAATGAAACATGTTATCAGTCCACTTTAAAGAATGATGACATCTTAATGGCTAAACTGATTAAACCACCTGCCTTCTAATCCACTCACCTGGGTAGAATGGGTTTGAGTCAATTTAGGTGTTTACTTTTAAGCCTTGGCAGATATGGTTTGGGCTGGTGGCTGGTGGCAGTGGGCCACTAAGGTGTCACCATAGAGCGGGACAGACTGCTGATCGTTGCCCTACATTAAACTTTTGCCCTCAAATTCTGCCGTTGACCTGGATTTGCATGGTTGGATGGTAGGGATCAGGGCTCACTCAACAATCACTGCTTAGTGTGGGCTCTGACCCCAGAAATCATCCATTGAAAAGGTTTGGATTCAATCTTTTTTGACTGTTACCATGGGCCTATGAAGATGTGTGACAATAGTTTTCAGTTTTTCATGTGATATCAAACCTCAGTTTGTTACTCATTTTTTTCAGACAATGAAGTTCTTGGATGGCACTCCATGCAAAAATCAGTCTGAAAGCTGCATTAAGGAGTTCATGCAAGCCATAGCCAAATTCAAGCTCACCAAATCAGAGAAACTTCAGCTTTTGAACACCAGACCAACCTCTGCTGTTGAAATACAGCTGGTAAGATCCTGTTCTTAACTTCATTGCAGCATTGTTATTGTGTAGCAGGTACTGGATCATAGATAACATGGTAGGGACTTTGCCGAGTTTACACTGATATTGCCAGTGGAACAGACATACTCCACCACAACAGTTTTTAAAGGTTGAATTTGGGGTCCTGCAGACAAACTTAATTTCTCCTCATTCAAGTCGGCACATGTCCTGCGCCATTTTGAGCGCAATATGACCTTTGATGTTGACTCCCCTAAAATCTAACATCTCCATCACGCCATTGCTGCGCCAAAGTGTCATGTGCACCCCTTGTTTGGTTTTTGCTAGCGGTGCTGGGTACAGTGCATGCGGTCACACTTTTTCATTAGTTATATGTGTTATTCACGATTTTCGTAGATGTGATGCCTTACTGTACTCTCCCGCGTCCCACGACCATGTGGGAAGTAACTGCCGGGTGCATGACATTCTCTGGATCTCTGGACACTGGTTTGGAAGTATCGCAGCCACTAACCGTGTAAAAGAAGCTGCCTTGACAGCAAACACTCCAAATATGTGGTGGGTAGTCTCGAGGATGAGTCGCCTGTGCGATGACGGCGTGGGGAACAGAGCACGCCACCGCTTACCACGCCCCCCCCCCCCCACACACACACAAACACGCGCGGAGGCGCCCCCCCCCCCCTTCTGGCTCAGCCGGGACGGGCGCCTACCCGGCCGCGTCCGGGGCGGCAGAGTTGTCAGGCGCCGAAGCGTGTGTACCGCCTCTGGCCGCAGATTATCGACGAGTCGGAGGAGCGCCTGAAGGACGAGGAGGTGGAGCAGATCCTGGAGGTGGTCCGTACCACGTTGCCCGGCCCGTCCGAGCCGGACGAGACGTGACCGGCCGCTGCGGCGGCGGCGACGACAGCGGTGGCGCCGATGGTGGCGGGGGCACCCCTAGCGCGCCGACTATCAGGGCGCGTGCTGTAGACAGCGTGTGCTGCGAAATTTTGTACTTGTCATGCGACGGAAGTCGGTGTAAACCGGAGACCGAAGGGAAGCAGACACTCTTTTTCGGGTCCTGCGATTGTGTTGTGTGCTTTGTTTACGTTTCTTAAATGTCTTTTGGATTATATAATCCAATTGGCACGGCTGTATTGTATGTGGTACACACACATACATACAGTTAAGTGTGCGGGAGTAATATCTCATGCCATTGTAGATGCCAACCCACCAAGCTCCGATGCGACTGTTTTGTTTGTAATACTGATCAAGACTAAACCATGGGTTGGACAGAAGATTGCAGAATCTTTGTGCCAGTAAATTGTTAGCTGAACGGATGGTTGAGTGCAATATTGGTGGGGTGAGATTTGCTTTTCAAAGACAGGTTACACTGTACGTGTATTCTCAACATTGTATGTATTATATCCGCACAACTTCAACATCTGGAATGTTAGAAGCACATTTGTGAAAATTGTGACCTTATTATCTACCTGATAGTTGCTTTCACGCCGTCCTCCGCTGTCTTGGGGGTAAGACGACCACCCATCGGAACTATTTACAAGTCGTGTTCGCCTACACAAAACCAGGCTATGGACATTCAGCTACATCGGCAAAGATCTATGACATGCTTAATATGAAATGAGTTACGAGTGATAATGCAGTGAGTTGTTGGCACGCACACTGGCGATCAGTTGGCATCCATCCGCACCCTAGCTCTTCCCCCATCGCCTCGCTTCTCTCCTCGTGTCGTCTCCGGCGCCACCGGAGACTTGCTCTCCGTCTCTTACTCCTCCTCCACCTCCTGATCCTTGGCGAACTTCAGCAGCCCGTCCAGGAACCGCTTGAAACGGCGGGTGCTGCTGTGGACGAGAACATGTCGTGAGCGAGCTACAGCCAACGCGCCAACACCTTCCTCGCGCACCGGCACGTGCGCACGCTTTTGCCCACCCACGGGGCGTGCTGGGTGGGGGGGGGGGGGGGAGACCTGCCGACGTGAGCAGACAGCTGCGATACAATCTTCACCACAGGACTGTGCAAGAGAGAGGATGGAGCGTGAGGGACACCCGCGTGGTCCGCGGGAGTGGCCGCTGGATGGAGCGTGAGGGACACCCGCGTGGTCCGCGGGAGTGGCCGCTGGATGGAGCGTGAGGGACACCCGCGTGGCCCGCGGGAGTGGCCACTGAACGTCGCTGGGCTCACCTCCGGGCGAGTGGCTTGAGTCGGCACTCGGTGAGCGGGTCGCCCGTGTACTCCTGCGGGCAGTAGCAGACCGCCTTGTGGTTCTTGGCGTTGCAGAGCGCGTTTGTGCCGCACACGTTGCCACCGGCGGCGCTCAAGCAGGGGTTGGTGCAGCTGTAGCTGTAGCACGCCTGGCTGGCCGGACAGTCGGTGCTCACCTGCCGGCGCGGCGGTGATCGGTCAGACGGCTCCGGCGCTTATGGTCAGACGCACTCCACCGGTAACGATCAGACGGCTCCGCCGCTAACGGTCAGACGCGCTCCACCGGTAACGGTCAGACGGCTCCGGCGCTAACGGTCAGACGCGCTCCATCGGTAACGATCAGACGGCTTCGCCGCTAACGGTCAGACGCACTCCACCGGTAGCGGCCAGACGCACTCCACCGGTAGTGGTCAGACGCGCTCCACCGGTAACGGTCAGATGCGCTTCACCGCTAACGATCAGACGGCTCCGGCGCTAACTGTCAGACACACTCCACCGCTAACGGCCTCTTGTTCTACCGCAACCAGATCGTAACGTGACTGGTAGGTCAGGTGGATTGTGCCCAGGCGATAGGACTGGGTGAGGTGGAGGCTCCCTTGAGACTACCCTGCACCAGGGTAGTGTCGCGACTGGGCTGCGTGGCATTGACTCCCCTGTACCTGGACAGGATTGCCATCCCGCTCCCTTGAAGCTACGGCAGCCAATGACTTACGCGCTTCCTTTGGCTGCAGGGTTTGTACCGCCATAACCCAGCACTTTCTGTGGTTAAAGGATCTGTAGTCTGTACCTTAACCCTACGCTCGCCTGCGTGCACAGGATCTGTGTTCCTATAACAACGCACCTTCACGTCTGCAGGATCTGTGCTCCGTTACCTCGCACTCTCCTGTCGGTACGGGATCTATATAGCCATTACCTCGCACTCGCCGCGGGTGCAGGAGCTGAGCGCGTCGCCGAAGTAGCCTCGCGGGCAGGTGCAGACGGGCCGCGGGCTGCCCGCGTTGTCCGTGCCCGGGTTACACTCGGCGTTGACTCCGCACGGGTTCGGTGAGCACATGTCCTCTGCGGGGCACGAGCTGCCGAGTCAGCCAGCGGACGAGCGCGGACTTGCGCACTCGGGACAGCCAAAAAAGCGTGATTACTGTAAACGTTAATTATTCGCCGAATCGGCACACATGGCATGGCGCCTGCCTGAGACCGCCCTGCACAATGCACATTTCACCAGGCACAATAGTTATCCTGATGTCCTATTGACCTTCCCCGTATCAATGCAGGTGAGATATCTTAACGCTAAATGACCGGAAGTTTTGTATCTGGCGTTGGACCCCGAGCATCATCATTAGCCTCATCCCTCTGTGCGCAGCCTTTCCCACGTGTGGGAAGCTGTGACCGTGGGAAGCTGGGGCCGTGACATTCGGAACGAGGAACGCAGCGGACGGGATCACTCACTGGGCTGCGCCGGGCTGCACCTGTCGAACGGGTGGCCCTCGTAGCCGCGTGGGCACTTGCAGATGGCCTTGTGGTTAGTGACGGTGCAGTCGGCGCCGACGCCGCACGCGCCGTCGCACGGGTCGGCGCAGCGCAGCTGGTAGCACGCCTGGTGCGACGGACACTCGGCGTGGCTGGTGCACTCCGGGTAGCAGCCGGTCAGGCCGTTGCCGCGGTAGTACTGCGGGCAGCTGCAGACGGCCCGGTGGTTGACCGCCTCGCAGCGGGCCGCCTGGCCGCACGCGCCCGTGCACGCGTTCCGGCACCGGTTCTGTCGGCGCGTCGGAGGTAGCGTCAGGTGGGTGGCGGGGTTGTGAAGCGACGCGCAGTGGGAGTGACACGCGTGCGTGTGTGCTGTTGGAGTGAGTCGCAGAAGCCAGTGAGTCTCAGCTCGACCAGAATATTCGCTGAAGTCGCAGAGAATACACTGCACGAATTTCTTTCATGTTGTACCAGATACTGCCGCCAGGTCCTGCGCGGGCGAAAAATGTCCCCACGACTGGCGCCGTCATCGTCGAGACGCGCCTGACATTAGCGGGGAGCGGGACGTCCGTATCTGGACGCAGGCCTAGTGTTCGGAGCACTCGCCGTCCGTACCTGGACGCAGGCCTGGTGGCTGGAGCACTCGCCGTCGGAGATGCACTCGGGCCGACAGCCTGTCAGCGGACTGCCGATGTAGTTTTGGATGCAGCTGCAGACCGCCCGGCCGTTCTGCACGTTACAGTTGGTGTTCTCGCCGCAGGGCGAGGGCGTGCAGGCCGCCGCTGTGACCGCCGGCAGGCGTCAGTGAGTCACAGGGGCGGTGTGCGGCATGCAGGCCTCCGCCTTCGTGCTGCGAGCTCATATCCCCACATTACTGCCAGGTTGTAAGGCATGAATCGGCTGGTATGGAACACGCTTCACGAGAGGAACTAGCAAACCTACTCGGCAACAGTTAAGTGACCACTTCAACGTAATGACCAGCCCATGGCGTTGGATGATGTCTTCCGTCTCCCAGTCGACGTCAGGCGCCCTGAACATATGTCGGAAATGCGTGCAATCCAGCCTGGAGGGGAAGACTCAGGGTGCCAGAGTGCAGTTATCCAGTCTGCCCCAAACTGGCATATGATGCTGAGGGGCGCAATGAATGACTGGGAATGTGTCGTGCTGATAAATGGTCTTCGCGCGTCCTCCGAAACGACAATTAAAAAGGTTCCATGCATAAGCGTCTGTGCATCTTTCTGCGGTCTGTCTCTGACCTGGGTCGTAGCGGCAGCTGACGAATGGGTCACCGATGTGGTTGACGGGGCAGCTGCAGATGGCGCGGTGGTTCTCCTACGTTGCAGTCGGCACCGGAGCCGCACACGCCGCGCGAGCACGGGTCCTGGCAGGTGACGTCAATACACGCCTTGTGCCGGGGACACTCGTTGTCCTCTGGGAGTAAGCGGGACCGCAGGGTCAGAGCTAGTCAGCAGCACGGTCAGAGACGGAGCGCGATATCAGAGACGGGGAGGTTGGCTCGGACAAGAAAGCACGAGGGATCAACGTGAGCACAACTCAGCTGCAACAAGTTCCGCTGCCCTTGGGGAAATGGCTATAAAACAGCGTTGGACCAGTCATGCCGGTCGTGTGTAAACATCAGAGCTGAGAAATGCGGAGAGTGATGCTTGCCGTAGGATTGATAGCTAAGTTACAACGAGCTATTTGCCTCACACCGCATAACAGGCATGCCACGGACGCAAACATCCGATCAGGACTCTCTTGATTCGTTCTTTACATCAGGATTGCAGGCATGCCCACATATGGCCAGATTCGGGAGTGGCCTCGGCTTGACCTGGTGCCTGCGTCACGCATATCCGCCGCCAGCGCAGCCGACAAACAGCTGCGGTGACATACGCAGGGGGTCACTCACGGGTGCACTCTCCGCGCCGGCAGCCTGCCAGCGGGTCGCCCTGGTAGCCGGCCGGGCAGGAGCACACGGCGCGGCCGTTGACGTTGGCGCAGTCGGCGTTCGTGCCGCACACGCTGCCGGCGCATGGGTCGCTCGGGGGAGCGGGCGGTCCCCTCGAGGTCACTGCCAGAGACGAGACGGGCGTCGACACAGGCGCAAACGCGATGCCGTGCACGACTTCCAAGGCTCGGTACGATCCCTATGTGGTCATGTATGGAAGTCGATTCAAAACGTCGCGCAAACGCCGGGGATCAAAAGCAAGCCCTCCTGTTTCGTGTATTATCCACGGACCGTTTTAGGTAGATACACAGCATGATCAACAGCTACCTTGTGTTAATACGACCACCTTTTTCAAAACACAGGTGTTTTACGCTAAGTCACGACACGGGAGCTTGCAGGCATTCAGGTCAGGTCATAGACTCTCGCATTAATCTCTGCTTCTAGTGGGAAAAATTGGAAGTGTTCTTGGGTTTCGGATTGCTTTGGTGTAAGACATTAACTGATTGGGACTTTTACCAGCCCGGATCAACCGCACGATTTTTCGTTACTTAAGGTGGGCCTACACAGGTAGCATTAGCTCATATATAGCTATAGCTCACATAACTCATAGTTCATAGGATATCAAAAGCTCCAAAAGGTTGAACCCAAACAAGCTGTGCAGCTGCTTTGTGATCAGTCGGTAAGTAAACCTCAAAATATTTTCCAAACTGCTCACCAGTTCATGATAGATCAAGATAGGTCACGTGACGCGGCAAAGTACAAAATATGTGCAGATTTTTTTGTCCTGACATAGCTTTATCTTGCTCTTACATAAGACCTCACTTTCATTTTTAGAACCAATATTTGTTTCTAAAGCGGAAGAAGCGCGCTTGCTTGAGCGTAGCGTGAAATATCTGTTTCCTAAGCGGAAAACCCGCTTCCTTGGGAGAAGGCTAAAAGTTACTCGATCATTTGTATTGATGCTGCAGTATTCCAAAGCCGCCGTAAGATTCGTATTATTTTGGTGAGAGCTTTCACGGTGTGGGATGCCATCAGCCGCACGAAGAGGCCAGCCGGCCAGCCGATCAGCTAACTGAAGGCAAATACATAAAGCTATTGATTGCCCTTCGTATTTTTTCTTTGGAGGGGGGACTGGAGATAAGCCGGAAGTAACCCCTCCAGGTGGTCGCATTTAGAACATTCCACAAGCGACGCTCGGACAAAATGCAACATTTCCGCGCAACACCGGCTACACACCTGTGCATCTAAGGTAACCCTCGGGCATAGTCACGAGCGGAGACAGGGGTCTGTAAATGGTTTTGTAACACATTTATTATTAAGCTAAACTGACGGATCTGACTGAGAACCCGGCTTCCAGTCGTCTAAAAATCTAAACTCAATTCCCCAAGTCCATCTACAATGTGCGCTTCATCGAGGCGGTAAGACACGTAGGCCCAAGGCCATAGCTGCGAGCGCAGCGTGCATTGCGACAGCGTACGCGTGCCGCGTGCAGCGCGGCGCGTCTGCCGGCGGCCTGTGTCAAGTACGCGTTTTTCTGCATACCAATGCCGAACACCGGGCGCCGGCCGCGCCGGCAGCACCTCTCACCTGAGCCGATGGCGTTCCTGGTGCGGTAGACGTTGCTGGCCGAGCCGCGGTACACGGGCCCGATGGCACGTCCTGGAAGCGGGCGGAGGTCACGTGCTGGGCCGGGGTCTTTTCGGCCGGCCGCTGACGCAGGCCAACGGCCCCGGTCAGCTCGGCCTCCCCTCGAGCCCCACTGGCTCGGGGCAGACTCACACCCGCGTGCGAACGGTACACGTCAGCCCGGTCGACCGCAGCGGCGCCGCTGCGTGTTATTCACACGGAGACGAAGGACGGATTTTGCAAAGCAAAAACACCTTTCGCGATTTTCACACTTTGAAGGATTCTTTGCGCGTTGTGGGCCTTATGTTGAGCAAGGTACCGAAAGCACCTTGAAGGAAAATATCATCCATGTACTATGATGAAGGGATGCTTACTGTCACACTTCTAGGAACTCGTGCATGCACCACTTTTTGTTGGTTTGCTAAAAGCGTTACCATCCACCAAGCTACGTCCAATTGCTACAGGAATTTTAGACTTCCAAGAACAGAATTTTTAGTCTGTCCATATTCTGTCGGCCGCACGTAACAAACCGTTGAAATGTTGCACTGCATTTTCAAATGTTATAAGCAGCTCGCAACTGAACTACTGTTTTAACTGCGTAAAATCACATCTCTGAAAGATCTAGCAAGTGCAAACGCCATAACATCAGAGTAGCATATTCTGCAGCATGAAATGCCTGGCCGTGAAACTCACTGTTCGAGTAGGCTCCAATGACTGCCGCCCTCACTGCACTTCTGTACCCGACACCGCCAAAACGCCCTGCAGGCACGCTGGTGTTTAGGGCAATCCCCTCATTCGGCATTGAATGGGTAAGCCTTGTTAATTTCTTTCTAAGTTCAAGTTAAATGCTAAGGTCAGTGAGTACAGCAAACAAAGCGGCTTCATGTTAACAAAAAGCACAGCAAAGCGGTCCGATCATGTTTTGTTACAGCACTATCTATCAAGTCACCTCAGGTCAAAGCAGCCGTGACGCAAGCTTTGTTCGGCTAGGCAGTACACTCCCGTCGTCAGTGTAGCACATCGTGTTGCACATACTCTCCATTTTTAAAGCGAGCCGCAGGCACCAAATCAGCCGAAGCATGCGGGTGAGTGCGGCGACAAGTAGCCCCACGGGGCAGCGGAAGGTTCCGCGTCCCGGTCCGTGCCATACGCGACCTCGCCCAATTATTTGCGTGACTCATGACCCGCTCTTGCACCTGCGTGACACTGGCCTGTATGATGTACCTGTGGCCTCGCTCCCTGGCCCGTGCCTGCGCCCGTGACCTGTGCGACCGCCCCGCCCACTGACCCGTCTCCTGACCCTGAATCCCCTGGTGACCGCTGCGACTGACCTGTCACGGAAGCGGGCGAGCAGCGGCTGTACGGGCTGCCCTCGTAGCCGGGCGGGCACGTGCAGCGGGTCTGGTAGTTGCGCACCTCGCAGTTGGCATTGATGCCGCACGGGTTGGCCTCCACGCACGGGTCGACGCACTTCTGGTTGCGGCAGACGAAGCGATGGCCGCCGCACTCGCCGTCGCTGGGGTGGGCAGATATGGGTCAGACGCGGGCCCCGGTCAAGCCGCGGCGAGCGCCGCCATGTGACGGCGCGGATGATCGGATGTTCGGCCCGAGACCGAATGGCGTTTGCGAACCAGGTGGCGATGGCACACGCGATCGCCGATGTGAGCAGAGGACGGCTTGACCCCGCCGACCGAGGGCGTCACGCAACAAAGGGCATTGCTGAGATCACCGAGAAACGGCAAATGGCAGCTTTGTTACATTTGGCACACCCGGCAGTACATCCATTGCGCATACACATCAAAAGAGAGTGATGCGCAGTAACGTCAGGTCTCTGAGGTCCTGGGGCCATGATGGCTTGCTTGTCAGCTGTACGTAATTGCCGTTTTCCAATTCGTTGGCAATATGCTGTAATTTTGTGCATGAAATGGAAACTAGATCGACATCAAATCGTGAAATCCATGCGCTTCCATTGACCTTGGTCGTTTGGAAGCACACGGATCGCACTTCATGCGTCATTTTCCGTTCAAGACCAAAAGCTGTCATTAACCAATCGTGACCCTGTTTGGGCTTCGTTTGATTAGTTTGCACTTTTCGCCCTGGGCTCGACTCATCTCATTTTTCACACTCACTACATTTCGTGCTGACAGTAAAAACGAATGTCGTTCTGTCCTCCGGAGAGACCTTAATTTGCTTCAACATTTTGTTACCATGCATTAAGATTAGTCTGACTTGGGAGATCACGCCGTAGTGACTACAACGGGCCTCATTGGGCTCCTCAGATACCGCGATATCGGGCACTCTTGCTTTGCTGTAGCTCAATCTGGCATCGCGTGGCGACAAGAGTGCTCACTGCTGCTCCGGCCAACTACTCGACTGGAACAGCTTCCGTGCGGCGACGGTTGATTCAGTTTGAAGGAAGTTTTCCAGCGGTACCTTCAAACGGAGAAATATTGCCAAGATAGACCACCGCACGCAAAGCCCCAGGAAAGGAAACATCTTAAAAAGGAAATATGTGGTATACCCTACCATGACACTGGTCCCGGAAATGACGTTTAGATTACACCCGTCTTAATCTTCGGCATACTCGAGCGCACGTGGCCTACAAAACTGCTCACGCTTCCAGCATGATTCACCATGAGAAGCGTGCCGTCACGCAAAACTCAGCCAAGCACCACTGCATTATGTGGTTGATCCCTTTAACCTTTAACAATGACGTATGCCGCTGCGCATTCTTTGAAATGTCGCCATTCAGCGGAACCACCAAGATTCAAAACGACTGACACACGGCCGGTGTCCGGTTTGTCCACTATTAGCGAGCCATGCCGTGAGCCAGTCACCAACCGTGTCACGGATTGTGACGTCATCGGACCAAAGGTAAACAATTGGCGCTGTGCTGCGGTGGTGCACGTGACTGGTGAGATTCATGCTGCGGAGGGATGTTCGTCATGGCTCGCGCATGCTCGACTACTCTTGCTCTCTTACTCTTGCTCGCGCAAGCTCTACTTGCATGTGTACACGGGAGCAGCCTGGCAGAGTTCCGGTTCGCTGAGTATGACGTGCGCGAAAGCAGGTAACAAGTTATCGGCATCTGGACGGGTCTTCACGACGCTTAGCTCGCGACTGGGCGTGGGTGAGCGCCCGCTGTCGCATTTCGCAAGGTTTCCCCGAGCTATATGCTGCCACATGCTGCGTAATGTATGTTACGGCTAGCCATAGCCTCTCTGTTTAAGACAGAACGTAATTTGCATCGAACGAATACATTATCGTCCTGATCTTGGACGCTCCACTTCAAGGACGCGCCCACGGGCTGCCGAGTTGAAAACGCTTCCTAGACGGGACCACCTGCGCACGCCTTCGTCTCTGAGTGCCTTGGCCGCCCGTGCATGGCGCCGGCCCGCAGCGTACGGAGAGCTGGGTCGGTCACGCCGCACCACCGCCACTCCCGCGGCCGCCCGGCGCACCAGGCGGTCGGTACGGCAGCCCTCGTCGGCGGAGGCTGGGCTGGGCCCCCGCGCCGGCCGGCCGATCGTCAACAGCCCGAAGGTCGGCGCGCCGGCGTGTTGGTGGCGGCGGTGGCGGCTCCGCCCCGGCGGAGGACAAGTGATGGCGGTGACGGCGGCGGCTGGCCTCGCCCCGCGCCGCCGCCCCCAGCCTTCCGCGGGGGCCGCACCGCAGCTGTGGGGCGGCGCGGCGCGCGACGCGCTGACGACGCACAGCCCGGCCAAACTGCTGGCACCCAGGTATCGGGCGCGGCCCCTCCCCTTCCCTTTCCTGCCGGGCGGTGCAGAGCGGCCGCCGCGGCGTCGGACGGCGGGGGCGACGGCGCCGGCGGAGGCGGTGCTCTGACCTTCGGCGGGAGGGGCCATGGGCGGTGGTAATCACGACCCCTGGCCGCTGCGTCAGTCAGGCTCGGGAATTGCGTGCCAGCGTGGGCAGTGAACCCTGGGCTGTTGTACCAAACACAAAAAACGCCCGGCTGTTAAATCACCATTTGGTGTTGGCACGCACAGGCCTAAAATAGAAGCAATTTCAGCCAGACAGTGGTCGTTAGAGGAAGTTATCAGTAACGTGGGCGGACAGCACGACAGCGGCACTTAATGTAGAAATAAATAGATGATAAACACATCATTCTGCATTATTAATGTGATCTTGTTCGATGTAAATAGACGGGCTGTTGTGGCTGGGAAGACTGGGATGCGGATGCAGGGCCGAATTTTTTGCATAAATAAACGATCCTATTACATTACATGAGCTATTAGTTTTACCATTTACAATTACACCCGCCTAGTGGTCTTTTCATTTGTTGCCTCGCTGCATCCTTTGTTTGCATCGTTTGTGCTTTTTTATTTATGTTTCGCCTATTGTCCCGACAGCGATGCAGTGGCAGGTGCAAATGTCACGAGTTTCCTTGGAGGCGCCCTGAATGTGCGAGTGAATGCTTTCCTGTCTTGAGATTTTTAATGCGTTGCGTTGGACATGTCGGCTCATCTGGCTGTAGTCCCGACGCATCTGACCCAAGGTCACTGACACAGCTAACCGGACCGGTTCACTGCATTTGACACACGGGACTCTGAACTCACCTGACACACCGAGCTGGCCCCGATTGGGGCAGCTCACTTGGCGATGTGACGTCCGACACAAAAGGCCGAATCGACGTAATGGCAGCTCACCTGACACGTACGAACGACACACCGAACTTACCTGACACATGGGACGTCCAGCACAATCGACCAGGCCCGTGTCCGTGGCGGCCTACCTGACTCGCGTGATATCCAACATTCCGGACGGACTCACGTTATGTGTCAGCCCAACTGACACACACGACGCCCGGAGCTCGGCTGACACAGGACGCCTGGCTGACCGTGTTCGGTGTCGGCTCACCTGACACACTGCGGCCCGCAGCCGACGAGGGTGTTCGGCTTGGGGAAGAAGCCGTCCAGGCAGCGACAGACGCCAACGCCGCGGCTGTTGATGCTGCAGCGTGTGTTCGGGCCGCACGGCGTCGGGTTGCACGGGTCCGATGTGCCGAACGCCGCCCGCTGGCTCAGGGAGTGTCCGCCTTGAAGCAACAGGCCCAGCTGACTTGGCACTGTGCGGACAGCGCGGTCACGCACGCCGGTTATTCAGCGGGCTGCGGGCGCACGGCGCGGCACGGCACGGCACGGCACGGCACGGCACGGCGCGGCAGCCAGTTTCGGGAGGCAAAATTCGACCGATAAAAATGCGGCCGGCAGGCGTTATGGCGTTGACTTTCGAACTGGTTGTGTGCAGATTTGGCACAACCTAGTTCTTTTACCATAGACTGCCGGGCTAATTTATTTCACGAGCATTTTTGCATGCAGTTTCCATCTAATGTACGTATAATTCTACCATGAGGTTTTCATCGTCGGAAGTCTTACAACCAGCACTCTCGATTTTGCGTCACGAAACGGGCTGCCGCTATTATGCGTCATGCGAAGACTGAAGAATGCAATGCAGTCTCTTACTATGTGCAGGCAGTGAGGCAATGAACAGGGTGTAGTTATTTATACGTCTGCCGAACGCTACGCAATCCGCTTATTTAGGTAGTTCCGTTTTGCGGTAGAGACAACCATTCAAGCACTCTTTGACACAAGTTCACGACGTGCGGTTCTCATGGCACTAGTTAGGCATACAGCCCGGCACCTCGTTTAAAAGCTCGCGGGCTAATTGTGCATGTGCATATGTCCGTTGCACACACAAGTCAGATTAGGACTCAGCTTTTCCTAGCGGCTCGTTAAGCCATGCATGGCTAGGCTATGTTGGCTTAGCTTGTCTGCAGCTGGCGTGAGTGTTGCTGATGGGCTTTACTGTTGTTTGTGCACAGTGACATAGAATTGTAACAGAGCGTAAGCCCGAATAAGTGTCGCTGTAAGGCCTCGTCCCATGAGGTCCAGGTCCAAAAGACGGGTCCAGTTCTGGTGTGAACCGTGTCGTATACCTCGGCATTAAGCCCAAATAGTGAAGATACCTGTGGATCTACCGGCGTTGGGAGAAACAACAGCTTTGATGTCTCCCTTTTTGTGTTCGTCTGCGTATGGCGCTAAGCCTAAAACACTCGACTAGTGTGATGCCAGGAAAGCGGTTTTTTGGTCATCATGTACGTATTCCCTATTTTGCCGCTACGGATTTGGTCCCATGGGACCAAGCCATAGATCACCACAAAAAGGAAGTATCTAATATGAACAAATGATGATGCTACAAAAATGCGTTGGTAGTAAAATTGTGGTCTATTTTCTAGGCCAGTCAGCCTTTCATGCGTATCGCTCCTGTTCATTCTACTTCCCGCACTTTCATAGTTGGCATCAAATTAGATCCCGGGCAGTTTCCCGTGAGATACCACTAGCGCAAAAAGAAAAGGGCTATTATGTTCGGGCGATTCAACTCCTTCTAACGTTACAGCAGCCTGCAAATATTGGCATGCTTTATGAAATAATGCGCGGAGCGGATATAAAACAGACCGCAATATGAGACAGCTTCTTAAAGTAGAAGCTTGATTTTAAGTTTTTGATGGATACTGACTCTTATGAAGTACTCAGTGTAAGCTCAGATAACTACACCTTTCAAGAACATTGCGCGAACATCACGAGTATTTCAATCATTCGGGCTCTAAGGTCTTACCACCCATTGCACGATGCCGTGCCATGAGCTGCCCAAAAAAGCCTAGCAGAAAAGTTTCGACGACCACTAAAACGCACGCTTTGCCTTGGTGAGGTAGGATTGTTTTACTAAGATGTTTTTTTCTGTGAATTACACCCAATTGTAACCATTTTAAAAAGCTTCCGAAGCCTGGATAACTTACTCTCTCAAGCCGATGTGACTTAGAAAGTTTTTGAAATTGCTAGAACGGAGTGTAAGTCACAGAAAAACACGTTAATAAAACGATTCGACACGATCAATGAAAACATGCTTTCTGCTGGTCGTCGAAACCTTTTGACTCGACTTTGTTTTGCATCGGCTTGAAACAGCAACTCATTCCTGCGCAACTCATTCCAAACACTTTTTACATCAGGCCAAAGCATTCACATTTTTTAATATTTGGCATCGGGGACCGAAGGTAAAGTGGACAAAGTCCAGGGAGAAAAAAAAAGATTTTAGGGCAGGTTAGGTCAACCTTATCGGCGCAGCTTCCACCCCACTATCACCTTAACCGATTTAAGAAAGTCACATCCTTACACACCATTGTATGGTAAGCGCTACCGACCACACGTCTTATGGCACGACGCTTATTTAATATGCCCCGTTGCCAAATTCCATGAAGTCGCATTTAACTGTCAATGTTCAGTGTGACCACAGCACATCGAACACTTTTGAAAAACGTCGTTTAACCCAGCGTTTTTCACGTCCGGAGTCACGCCAGTATCAGCGTGTCCCGTTCCAATTAAGTCTGCATTTTGTTTGAAACATGTTATTCGTTGCAAGCATTCTTGACAATCCTTAAACTGAGGGTGATAAGACGAAGATGACACAAATACGGGCATCCCACCATCGGACATCTTTGTTTTGAGCTTACGTTGAGCTTCGACCGTTTGACCGTTGCGTTTTGAGCTTTGACCACTGCGTTGCATGTCTATCAACATGCTAACGTTCAACTTTTTACATTATTGAAGTCGGAGGGCATCCAGATCACCCATACCCCGCCACCTTCTGCTGTGCATGCTGCTCAGAACATCCCCGATTTCGTCACGTGCTAAGTCCCCTCCACCATGCATGCAGTGAAACCCCAGGTCAGCGGCGTGCGGCGCCTGACGCCAATCAGCGCTGCGAGTCCGCTCACCACCGGAGTAGTTGATGAAGGTTTGCGCCGACCCTGTGGCCGCCAGCACCAGCAGTGCCAGGGCGACCCGGGAGATCGCCATGCTGAAGATGGGCTGAAATGTGCGCACCGCCGGCGTCACAAGGCGCTCTCCTCACCAGGTGAGCGGACACCGAATGCTCTCGTGTGTGCTCCCGCGCGCCTGCTCGCGGTCGTCGCGGTGGATAAAAATTTAGACAGGAGGCAAAGGAAGCTTGGGGAAATACTGTGCGATGTATGGGTCCCGTACGCCGGTCGGAGACTGCGACAAATCACTAAAAGGTAGCGTAATCTCAGTGCCGGTAGGCAAATATCTAAACGGCAAAGTGGCCTGACCATGCGGCTTTAGGGCCAAAGACGGCAGCATTTTCGTCGTTCCTAACGTGAACCTTCTTCCTGGCTGGGGTATTATTATAGAAACAGCATGTGATCATGCCGTGCGGGGCTTTGCTACAAACAGGAAAATGCATTGATTAGGGAAGCAAACCGTGTGATGATTCTAACTGATCGCATGATGCCTTATTGTCGCATAGGTATGTATGCTTTCCTACTGATCTGACGCACCAGGATGTCGACTCAACAGCTTGCGGATGGTTCAATGTAGTCCGTGCTTTCCAAGTATCCTCCTGACCTGGCAGCACCAATAAGTTAAGACCGCAATGGGCATCAGATGTCTCAAAACCCTCAATGGGTGGCTCACATTACGGGCGCCTCCGCACCCAGCACGTCTAAGCGTTAGAGCGGGGCCGCTGCCCCCCCCCCTCCACACACACACCCCCGCCGTCGCGAGGCCCGAGGACCAACCTGCAAGGACGGCTCTGTCAGCGATGTGCCAGTCACTCTGGGTCCGCTCTCTGCAGGGTCGGCGGCGTCACTGCTGGTCGGCCCGGCGCCCGCTCGTGTTTGACTCCTGGCCGCCGCGTGACGTCACAGGTCAAGCAGGCGTCGTCGTCGCGCGGGTCCCACGAACCACGGGCGGGGCCGGTGATGACGCAGGAACTCATCCAGAGTTCGGCGAGTCGTGCAGGACTCTCCGGAAAACCACGACGGCTTGAGAAGGTCAGGAACGAATGTGACACGTTTTCCGGTTACTCCGAAGACCTTTAAGGACCCGTATCTATATTTAGCGACGACTTACGAATGTCCTACGCCATACGACAGCAAAGGCGTACAAAGTTTTCAACAAGAACTGGTCGAGAGATTAGTGCTTTTATGTTCTTTTATGCATCCTCAAGCGTCACAACAAGAACGGTAAGAGGACATTTGCAAATGCTTGCGGTGCATTGCAAAACGATCTTACCAGATTACTCAACACAGTATTGTAGTGTACGAGAGCTTACCGCCTTCATTTCTTCCATGCGTATCGGGCAGCCCTTCTTGGGCCTGTCCCGCTGAGAAGCTGTAAATGGCTGGAGGGCCTCTTCGTAGGGAACAGGGCCTTTTTCACAAGTGCGAGTAAAATGCCCGGCAAGCGGCCAAATTTTCCCCACGCTGACCACATGTATGCTCCCTCCAACTCACAGCTGTTGAGTGCGAGCAAAATGCCCGGCAAGCGGCCGAATTTTCCCCACGCTGACCACCTGTGTGCCCCCTCCAACTCACAGCTGTTGTAGCCAGTAGCGGGTCAAAAAGGAGCCGTGGAGTAATGCCGTTGATTGTAGGGGCGGCCGAACGCACGCAATTTTTTGACATAAAACGTAAGCAGTTGGACGTCTTTGGCTTGCAGCCGACTAGGAAAGCCGAATACAAATATGAGAGGTCAACAAGCAGTTAAAAATGATTTGAGCTGATTGGTTTGCAAGGTTTTAGAGCTCATTACGTCTTCCAGAGGCCATGCGCAGGAAGCGCCGAGTACCCTACATGTCGATTTCCAGAGGCACTCTCGTTCGCAGAGGGAATTTCCATGTTTGCGTGTGTTTTGCATGTGTTTGCATGTGTTTGCAACTAATCTGGCGCTGCACTTTTAAGTCGCCTTCGCACTGGTTTCGGGTTCTCCCCGCTCGCTCGGAGGGCCTGTGCTCTGGCCTGAGGCCTCTTTACGTTAACTTACCGGGGCACTTGCGATCGTTCAGGAGGCCTACCACATTGATGTCGGGCTTTTCTCGTTTGCTCGGAACACCTTAAACTATTGATGGTTTTGCATTGATCTGCCGCTGCGCCCTCGACTCCTCACATGTCGTCCACATGGTCTAAGCTTTTGCCATTTGCTCGGAGGAATTACACATGGATATCCTATAGGTTAACTGCTCAGAGCGCTCTTAATCGCTCTGGGGTCCTCCACATTGGTCTCAAGCTCTTCCTGTGGGCTCAGGAGAACCTCACGTTGATGCTAGACGCCCAGTGTGCTCGTGATTGCCAACTCTTGGTAACTCATAGTATTTCGTCTGCTCGCGGGTGTGGAAAGTTGTTTATTGGATGTCATTGTCAGGATATGATTGTATCCAGATTAAGTTATCGTAGCTTTTGACGGATCAATGTCGTACATGCATTTTTCATATAAGGTGTTAAACGTCCGTAATGGAGTGACCGAAATAAACATTTTCTTTAGCTTTCGTAAATGATCTTCTTGCTCAAGATGAATATTCTTTCGGTCTGTCCATAAATGATCCCCGCATTTTTTAGGACAACAACAGTAGAAATGTGTCTCGCCACAACAAAGCTCCACGTGTCCTCTGCATTTCTGTTTGAATATGGCTGTACCAGAATGCATTCATGCACATAAGTTCGAGATCCCTAACATGACAATTTGCATTGTGACCTTAACCGCACATAGCAGCAGCCGCGTATGCTGTGATTTTGTTTTACACTGCGCAAATAGCTAAGATGATTTAAGTGCAGGTAACGTCACATATTTCGTTTTCCTCGGTTATTGAATATGTGACCCTCATTTTACCTGGACACCACATTCCCAATTCATTCAGAATGTTAGCATAGTTCGTGCTCCTTCATTGGGTATATCTTGTGAATTTGTCTGACCTGAGCCAATGACATTAATTCACTGCAAGCACAATACTCTACTTTTTGTTAGCTCGTCCATCCATCAACTCCCGACGAAAGATAACACCTGCTTCTTCATCCAATGACTTGGTGCCAGAAGCGTCTCTGTCACACCGACTTTAAGGTTGGTGTTGCCACTGCCACACCAGCCTTACTACATTTTCCACCCACGAGTGTGCAGTGATGGAATGATAGTAGAGTCCTGAAGATTCTTCTCGACTGTTTTTTCTTCATTGTGGGCATAGCGCTATTTCATGCAACCTGATGCAATGGCATTGCCCGAGCACGAGTACCAAGGTCCGTTTGAAACATTATGTCAGTTCGCGAGACTATGCGTCAGTATTTACAAGGTTGTCGGATAAAAAGGATGATGAATCGTTATATTGCTTGTAATATCGTGGTAAACATCGTGCTGCATATGCATACCCTTATGCAGATATTTTATGTGCGGAATGCGACGTCTCCTGGAAGGAGTTGAAGGAAACATCGACTCTGACCCGAAGGACGCTGCGCCGTTCAGGTGTCCTCTACTGTGCAAACTCTAACATGTAAGCGAGACGACACGCGGACATGACGTCCACCTTTCCTGTTTGCAGTCCGTGACGTTGTTTGGTCACAAGGGAAACGGTAAGGACGACCAGTGGCTTCAACAGGCTTTGAGCGGTCTTGGAACGTCGTCATCCGATTTGTTGTTGGGGTTTCACGTCTCACCAATATCCAGGACCATTTCGAGACAAGATGCCTTTCTTAGCTGCCATATGGGATGCGGTAGTGGTGTGAACGGGACTCGAACCCAGGACCGCAAAATCCACAGATGAGTACTCTTACGACTACACCCCTGCCGCTCCAGTCTAGCTCTCTTGCCCAGCCCCTCCCAGCGCCTCGCCCAGTCTCTCCCAAGTCAGGGGTCATTTGGCGAGGCGCTATCAGAGCGTTAATTCAAGAAACGTTCACCCCTGCTAAATGCACTTGAGGCTAGTTTTTGCTCGTTGAACTAAACGGGCTTTAGCAATAGGAATAAAGTTCGGTGCTGAGCGTTTTCGGGATTGGTTTTAACCCGAGGTTCCCTACACCTGCTACAAATGAGCGGTCTGCCGGACACACAAACCGACTTGAAAGAAATATTGACCAACGTAAGCATTCATCGAAGCTGGAACACCTCACGATTGACGCGACGTTATTTATATATCGGTATGCGTCTTATTAAGGACTCCCGGGTCTTTGTCTGCCTGACTGCCTGCTTATCTGTATGTTACGCTCTCTCCGTCTACCTTCCGACTCTGCTCCCTATCATCAATCAGTTTCAGGTTAAAAATGGTAAATAACGGATCTGCTTTGTATTGGGCGTCTATGAACGAAGGTCACCTGGGCGTTGATTGGTATAAATATCAGATGACAAATGTGACGAAACTGATGTAGTCAGACAAATAGAAGTGCCCCTATTAGCGTTCATTCGACCTCATCTTAGAACCATCGCATTATCATTATCATCCATACATTAGCTCAGATTGTTACAGCTCCTCCCGCCCATGCTGGTCACGTCGCAGCGCGGCACTTCCCCCGGCCCATGAGTCAGGGGAACCCCGCGTGTCTCTTACCCACGTCACGGCGTTTCGCCGGACGCCGCCACTGCGAACCTGTTCGCGGAGCGCCGGACGGCTGCACCCGCCGGTGGCAGGTGGCGTCAAGTGGCGTCAGCTCGTGACCGCAGAAGGACAGCACGTGGGCGCCGCGTGGGAGGCGGCAGCAAGCCGAACAGCTCGGCGGCAGCGGCGGCCGGTCCTCCGCGCAGCAGGGCGCGGAGGTCGCCGTTAATCAGCCGCCTCCCCCGGCCGTCTGTGCGAGGTCAGAGGAGCTCAGCAGAGGTCGCTGTCGTGTACCCGTTGGCGGATGGAGGTCACGTACTTGTAACTGCTGGATGATGAGGTCACTGACGTGACCCCACCGACGGGCATAGTTTTCTGTCTTGCCACGCCCAATGGCCGAGGTTCAGACGCTGTCAGGGCAGGACGCCTCTCTGCACGATATCATCCTAAAACCAACGACTAACGCTGACGTCGCCGACTGCCTACGGCATGGCTGATTATGAATCACAAGCCTTGCTGGTAAAGGCCGGTGGCCGTCATTGTTCGTGCGAGCCAGGGAAACGTTCAGCTGTATGTCCGGGAAGTGAAGAAGGGGTGCTTCAGTGTCTTCTGCTTTGGACGTCGCTGCGCTTCAGTTTCACCGGACTTTAAAGCAATTTGTTAGTCATGCTTGGCAAGGCTGGAAAGGTCTCGATGCAGATCCATGAGCGACACCGTCTGGGAGCTGAGGAGCCATCCGATTGAAGCTCATGAGGATTCGACTGCATTACTGGTGTGCCACGTGGTTCTGCAGTCAGACGCAAGGACCTTGAACCAAGCAGCGTGCAAATGAGCCCAGCTCTGAACCGCCTCTACGCAAATGTGACACAGTTCTTGCCGGCGCCCGGTCGGTCGCTGCGTTTCAGCAGCGTTGCCCGGTGACGGCCTCGTGCCTGCCCACACCTGCCGCCCGGCGGCCAGGCGACGGAGGATCGGCCTCGCAGCCGGCCGGCCCCGCCCCTGTCGTGCCGGCGGGGCACAGTCGTCAGGCGATGGTACCTCCTCCGCCAGGACGGTCCGCCGTTGAGGCGAGGCAGCGGATCGAGTTGGCTTCACAGGCCGTCGGCCAGTCTGGCAGAGCTGAGCAGGCGGACAGGCAGGCGCCCCTTTTCGCAGGCCGGGTCGTGAGGAGATCTAAATGTGATGGTGCTGAACGTGCAAGTAACGATTTGCCGAGAAGACGACAGCACGGCAGACACGCACATAGTGTGTATTAAAAGCCAGACCTGAGACTATATCGTATCTAGAGGACTGAACTAAAGGGTGCTAAATCTTACGGTTCAGAATTAAA